TAAACCTCGCTAACATCACACTGCTCTGTTTCCTCTAAAGAATAACTGATGAGAAGGGCACAATACGTAAAATATAAACAGCTTATCTCCCACTGAAACTGCTGGGGGTGAGCACAGAAACACTCCCACCAGCTGCTGGACAAATGGCAACTCTATTAAGGTCTGTGGGGTTTTGGGGGACAATTTGATCTAGAGGTGCCAATCAACTTTTACAGAAGTAGAGGATATGGAGAGGGGTAGAAATGATGAGGGAAAGCATACGCTGCACAGCAACTGTACTATAGCTGGCTAACGAGGCTGCTCTTACGGTTTTTCATATCTGCTCAGTTTAATTTCTTGTTGGGAAACAGTCTGAAGTCCCTCACGTTAGGGATGGGCTACCAGCCATGGGACCGTTCTTCTACATTCTCCCCACGGATTACGACAATTGTCGGTGCACAGGTCCAATGGGAAGGCTTTGGCTCCGGGGTCCTCGGGGTGCACGGGCAGGCAGGGGACAAAGCCACCCTGCAGCTCTGAGCTGGCCCCAGACCACCACTGGCCCCCTCCCAGGTAATTAACAGAAGGCAGGTAATGCAATTAGATTTCAAAATCTACGAAGTCAAGGAGGTAATCAAAAGTAGTCAGCAACAACAACCACTGACGCTACACACCAATTGCAGTGCAACTGCAACACAAGGCACTTATTGTTGGCTTGCGTTAATACTGCCTCTAGTATTGTATTAGCAAAAGGTAATGCAATTAGCAGTTCCAGGGTCCGGAAAATACAGGACAAAGATTCATAAGACAGGCTGCACTGACCTGCACACACGAACTCATCCCAGAGGCTTAGGTACAGGCCTGACATTCTTTTGCCTTCATCTTTTCTACCTTCCAGCCTCTGTTTCAGTTTTTAATATTATAGCAACAATCTTTGAGAAAGATGCTTATGGCTTCTGTATGTGTGACAGCACTGGAGTTACTCATACGCCCAACTCACATTTTGAGGGTGAACATGTGTGCAATGCACATGCACGTGGTTTCCAAGGCTGGATGTTGGTAACAGGTGCTGCACGTGGGCTCGACATCCCACCACAATAATTTCAGCCCAGTAACTGTACAATGCTCTGAAGGATGGAGCACTTTCCAAGCCTTCCAGCTTGTTAACAAGATGCTAAAAATGAGCAAGACGGGGGGGAAAAAAACCAACGGCAGGAAAACTCACATCAACATCGCTGGCTCCAGGGAATGCCACTTGCAAGTAATGAAAACGTGCTGCTCGGATGGCGTTGAACCAATCCACTATTTCCTAATAATGAGAAAGAAAAGCATAGTGAACAACGTAGTCTGCACATAAAATATCGTGATCCTGCTGTGTTTCATCTTCGTCCCGAGTGATAGAGCACAATTTAGCAGCAGTCCTAAAAAAAAAATAAAATACAGACATAAAAGAGAGCAGCAAATAGGTGAAGGATGGGGAACATGCAGCTGCTGTCCCAGGCTGCAAGACATGCGTGGAGCTCTGCAGCCCCCAGCGAGCAGCAAGGGGCTTTCTGCAGAGGGAAGGGTTTATGCACGTCTCCGAGCTGGCAAAACCAGCAACAAATCAGCATTTGAGATATTGAGCCCAGCACTGAGCTTGACCCTATAAACACTGTTTGGTTTGTGCCGGCTGGGTGCAAAGGCAGCCCGACACCTCTGCAGCCTGCCCACCACCACCCCTGCCCACCACTACCCCTGGCCCACCCAGCCCCTCCGGCAGCCACAAGCTGACTGCAGGCAGGAGATGCCAGGAACACCTGAATCCCACCCAAATTTTAGCAACATAATTCAATGTTTTGCTAAAAGAGTGGCTAAATATCTCTTTATCTTTGTACTCCAGTCTATCAGTCATATCTGTGAGTCCTCTAGGAACAAGCATGGTGATACTGAAGTCCCAGTAAAATTCCCGAAAACTCTAGCACTTCTTCCTCTCCTTGGCAAAAACCTCTCTCTGTTTTTTGGTTGTGTTTTTTTTTTCTTCCCCCTACAAAATAGTTGTTTTATAACTTCTTTGTTTTTAAACTCATTTATTCATTTGTCTCTAGTGAGACCTACAGAGCTTGTGCTGCCCTGGATGCCTTTTTGAAGGTTTCACTGAGAAATGCCACATTGATTTTAAGTGATCCGCACAGGGAGCAATCTCATACTGCCTTGCGGTCTAAAGGTAGGGGCAAAGGACAAGCATGTTGGAAGGGAGACCTAACAGCTGCCCGCACCGGGATGCTGAGCTGTGGGGAGACAGATGCTGAACTATCCGGCTGTCATTAACGCACGTGAAGCTTCACACATCAGGCACAGGTCCAATGAGCCAGACTTGATCCTAAAATAAACACTGGCAACCCTTTCATTTCAGGTGAGGTTGCTGCAGTATAAGAAAGACTATATTAAAGTAGAAGTCAGCCTTTAGTAAGATTTAAAGTTTTTTATACTTTGAAAATGATTGGGGGGGGAGGCGGGGAAGAAAGGCTCTTAACGTGTAATTTTGGAGATCTCAGTTTTAAGGAGTTGAATTGGGGGTATCTGAAAGACAGCCTAACACGGCACATAGCCATCCTCTAGAAGTTCAAACATTTCGTTTTGGTTTGTTAATCTACTTCAAGCTGAAGGGGGGAAAAAAAAAAACAAACCAACAACTCAAAACATAAGAGAACATACACAAACAATGTTTTGGAAAACTCTGACCTACTTGTCTGAGGTTTTACTTAACTTATCACTTGCTTTCCTACTCTAAGCAGCTAAGCAGACCCCAGATAGAAGCACAAAGAGGATCAGCGAGAGGAACTGGCTCCAGAAGTTAACGATGACCAAACCAGGCTGGAGTTAATGAAAAAAAAGCTGTAATGTTAAACTGTTGATATTTCATATGGTCACCAACTGCAAGGCTACACACACACACATATATATATATGTACTATATATATACACACATATACATATGCAGGTCTCATCCTTGATGGTGATGTGAGACAGGGTTTCACCCCACAGCAAAGCAGAGGTTGAAACCCTCATTGACTTCCAGCAGTCGACTGCTTCTCAGAATATTGATCATCCATCGCTGGAGGAAGGGGCACCACCACCTTCCTTTATACAAACCTATACCTGCGTATGTAAAGCTAGAAGGCTCAGTTGCTAAACATTTTCTGTGTGTATAACTACGAACAATGCCACAGATAGAGTGCGTAGATTAACACTGGTTTAACACATCAGATTTAAACTGCTCAGTGTTTTCAGATGGGAAGGTGTCGTCTCCTTAGCTCATCAGCAGAGATTCCTTTCATTGATATATGTCTCGGAGCAAGCAGAGAAAATGAACTATTTTGCAAGTGGCTTTTCCAGGCCCTCAGCTTCCTTCTGGTCTGCTTGCAATGCCACCGCAGACTCCCCCTCTGCACGTCACCTTGGTGTCTCTCCCATCTCCATCCCGCACCAGAACCACCCACACTGCTGTGGCAGTCTCAGACTGACAACCCCAGATAAAAATGCGATTTCTTCTCACTGTACCTCCTGCTCATCCATCCCTGGCGCTCAAGCAATGAGCCCTTTCCCTGCTGCTGATCAATCCCTCATGCCACCTCTTCCCATCTTGATAGCTCCTGATGTAGCTCAGGAAAGGAGGAGCTCTGGGGAAGAGCATTTTGCTAATTTGTCCAGAGAACTTCCAAAGATCTCAGTTTGCACCCTAAAGGATGGTCTCTCCTGGAGACTCAGCCCACCTCGGAGCATCCTAGGGGTGACGGTAACAGCAGGGATGGCAGCAGCACACAGCAGCTTCCCCAGCTTCTCCAGCCCAGGCTTTCAGAAGCCCTGCAGAGGGAGCTTCAGCCCCAGACAGGAGCTCCGAGCGGTGGGAAACCCAATTCTGCACCTTTCCTGCCTCCCACACCCAGATGGAGACCTGGGGCAGGCAAAGGCTGGCTCCAGCCTTCTTCCCACAGGAGGGACAGCCCCAGCAAGAAGCACCAGTTCAGGTGCCTCCAGGACATGGGGCAGCCTGCACGGAGGAGTCAGCCCACGCAGAGGTTGGGTCTCCAGCTCCAACCGGTGCCTTGGCTTCACCCCGGCTGGCTCAGTACATCTGGTGGTGGGCAAGATCCAACAACATCCTTTAAAATGGTCAGAGCCCAAGACACATCTTGCACTGCCCCTACTCGCTGTTATTAGACACCCACATCGCAAAAGCACCCAGATATGCCCATTTTGAGCAGGGTGCTGGGGCTAGTTTCAGTCTCTCGTTTGCCGTCAGGACGCACCGAGGAGCTGATGAAGCCACCAGACTGAGGTCACGCAGGAATTGCATCTCCAGACAAGTCGCATGATGGGGTACTTCTGGGGTACTGCAGAAGAGCCAAGTGGAGAGCAGCATGCGATGCTCTGGATTACTGCCGAACTCCTCAGTGGAAAAAAAGAAAAAAAAAACCGAATCCTGCCCTGGTGGAAGGTCAGCCAGACCGGTGACAGGATTAGGTGGGATCAAACCCCAGAAATATGAGATAGGAGCCTAAATCAGGCTCGAGCGCTCCAGATCAGGGAGAGGGAGCACCTCTGAGGTACGAGGGGACACCCCAGGGCTGCTGGGGGACCACAGGAGGGAGCGAAGGGCAGCGGGGGACCGCAGGCGAGTCCCAGAGCTGTCTCCGGTCCCAAAGGGTGGGAGCTTACCCCAGCGGGTGTCATCTTCTTGCAGCCCTCGCTCAGCCAAAGGGGCAGACCGATTTCAGGGAAGTTGAAAGAAATTCAGCCTGGGCATTACCAGGTGGCATCAGAGCATGTCCTGCCAAACCACCGACACGACGGCAGGAGCAACTGTGTGAGACCTGCGAGACTGCTCCTTCCATGAGCCCCCAGCAGAAAGCTCAGCATTTTAAACCCAAAAAACAGTAAAACCCTGACTCCATTCCTCACAGCTGGGCTAAGCGGAGCACCAAAGCCCAGCAAACCACAGACATGGGCATGATAGCGGCATGAAGCTTTCACTTCAGAGTGAGAGGAAGAGGAAAGAGCTTCTTCCTCTTATTTTGGTTTAAATCGTGGCCAGGAAGGTACCTGAGAGCAGCCCAAGCGATACTTTGCTGTGCTAAAGCAGCACCTGGTGACAAGCAGTCCCTGCTCCGTGCCATGGGACTTGTACATCCCACCAGGCAGAGCGGACGGAGGGGAGGGTAAATTTGGGAGCAGCCCCGCCGGAGCAGCTCCCTGGGACCCACAAACACAGGGAGCAAGAGCCCCACGGTGCTGCAGGGTGTGAGAGGCCAGGCAGGCCAACCATCTATTATGCATCTCTATTACATGCATATCTCCATGTGTGTGCATGCATATTATACACACATGTCTGCGCATGTACAAAACCAGGGGATGCCACTAATTAACCCAACCTGACACACTAATTGCCTCCTGCCCAGAGCACCGGCACTACACAGGGAGCCACATTCAGCGCGAGCACGACAGGCATCATCTGGCTCCACTGCAACCCGATGCAGAGGCAAGATCAGCTTTGCTCATCCGCAAGTGAAGAATATCTTGGGTTTTGGTGGCATTATTTGTCTCTACAGTCTGGAGAGGAGCGATTGCTATGAACACGGACTGCTTATCCCCAGCAGGGCTGCCCGCCTCGTTGTGCGTGGGCGAACAGCTGGGAACAGGCTGGGCACCGAGAGGATCCTGCAAATCCCTGCTGTGTTGATCCACGAGGGATCACCCCCAGAAAGCCTCTCTGACAGACAGGGTGCTGAACGGGATGTAACATCAAAGGCTGAAGGTACCATGACGGCCAGAGGAAAGTAGATGCGATGTGAACATGGCAGCTCTAGGTTCTGATTTTGTGGCGACTCTAGGGCTGCTGATATTTTATGGGAAGCCTCAAATATTTGGGGGAGGGCAGAAAGAGATGAAAATAAGGCTGTGAAACGGCACCCACTGTAAACTTGCCGGGGTCTGCTCTCTGCATGGACACCAGTCCGCAGAGACAAGAGCCACGGGGCAGTGTGGTGACTGTTGCTGTTCTTCACAGTGGCCCCCAGGCTCAGACCCCCCCAAGAGCCTCCAGGAGGGCTGGGATCCCCCTTGCTGCTCCGACCTCTACGTCCCACTGTCCTCGTTGTGTAAACAACCGCCCCAGACCCGTGAGCCCTCTTCTTCACACCTCCCTTCAGAGGCACGAGGGCATCGCAGCAAAGGGATTTATTTCAATACAAACATTCATACTGTTCACAACAGGCAGAGAAACCACCAGTTCCTCAGTTCTCCTACAGTCCAGTTCACTCCCCTTTTGCAAGTCCTTAGGTTGAGTTCCCTCACCTTTCGCTGCTCCATTCACCCCGTCTCCTCTGGACATGGAGGAGCCTGACTTAAAAAATGCCCCTGTCCCTATGTCTAGTTGCATGCAGAGGAACAGCAATTCCTTCCATTTGCATCTCGTTATTTAGAAGACACGGTTTGCAACCTTTGTGCTTGGAAGGACATAACAAACACACTCAAAGCTGGTTGTGCCTCCTGTACCCCCATCCCTTCCACATCCCCCCAACAATTCCCAGCTCGCTTAGAGCCTGGTGTCCCCAGGCTGGCTCTGAGTAGCATCAACCCCCAGGGTCACAACCCAACCCTTCTCGTTACCTCCGCGCTCTCACCTTGCCATCTTCATGATAGACAAAGATGTTCCTTGTGCTATTGTCCTTCAAGTAAGTGATCTGCAGTCCGTGTGGGTTCCCGATTTTTGCAGGCTGGAAAGTCGCATTTAGATGTTCGATCTTCATAATTGCTTTGGGTTCTTTTGCCTGGAAAACACAGCTGAGTGAGCAAACACCTGAGAATTGGCTTTCAAACCAGAAAGCAGTTCACTTGGTGAGAAAAAACTCCTGATTGAGGCCATTAGCTAAAAAACCTGACACTCAGCCCACAAAACTGCCTGGTGATGAGGTATTAGAGACTTTGCTCAGGTGTCAATGAGTGCTTTCTGCCAGCCTGGAAAAATGCTCTGTTCTTCTGAAAAATTCAGCAGAGTTCAAGGGGAGAAAGGTTTCAGCCCACAAGCAAGATGGAGAGGCCAAGTCTCATGATAGGATATCGTGCTACAAAGACAAGCATCTTCACTACGCCTCCTGTCTCAGCCTCTGTTCAACTGTCTCCTGATCCCCAAATCTCCTCCAGCCTCTCTACACAAAGATACGTGACCAGCATTTACACCGGGATGAGCACTATCAAAGAAGAAAGAAAACTATTCTGCCAGACCAAAAAAAAAAAAGTGCCGACTGCTAACTAACAGGCCAGGATGCTTTCTGCATCTCAAGCACCCACAGCCAGTTCATCCTTGCCCAAGAAGATGGAGGATTATCCCCCTTGCCAACTTCAGACCTGGGTGCTGGCATGGCAGGGGACACCATGCCCAGGTCCCCACCAGTCCCATCCTCTCACATGAGCCACTGGCTTCTGATTCTGCTCCACCCCTTGCCCTCCAAACTGGAAACTTTCTTTCAGAGGGACAAATATATACCTTACAGCCCACCCCTTGGGTGGGTTAGCCCAACAGTGAGCCTGGATCAGGCCCTCCCAGGCATCAATCCCATCTGTACCCTCTGTGGCATGTCACTTGAACTTCATAGCGTGGTTCATCTTCCTACAAAACATCTCCAGAAGTTTACCACCCTTTCAGGACTGCACTGAGAAGTGAACTAGCAAGCGTGAATAAAACATCCCAAAAAATAAAGATTAGGCTCTTGGTCATACCAGTTTTAAGGCACAGCCAGGGGCCAGCAAAAAGTCGGGTGGTGGTGCTGTGGTCCCCAGCACCACGCAGAAGTCCCCGAGCTGGTGAAGAAGCTAGCATGGCTTTGGGAACTTGGGGACTTGCCATGGACACACAGCCATCGCACGGGTGACCACAGTGGGGAAAGCCCAGCAAAGAGGACGTGTCTAGACAGCGTCGTTCCCACCACAGCTACGGTCAACAATGAAGCAAAGCAGCTTCAAACTACCAGAGCAGCCAACAGCGACTGAATGGGGGCTGCTGTGACTTTCACTTCTCCCTTGGTAATGACCGGGTCTCTCCTGTCCACGAGATGGAATTGCACCATACCACACCAAGCTGAAGGAGAAGACGGTGCTATCGAAGCTGGCCACCAGGCATGGAGAAGTGTGGATGGATGTTCCCCTCCTCTGCACAGCATGGCTCATCATGACACCACGATTGCATCAACTTCTTGAGAAAGCTAGCTGGTGGCTCAGTCTGGGCTGCGATGTTCAGGGAGACTCAAAGGTCAGAGAAAACTCCTTGGCTTCCTCTATTATGTGGTGCAGAATAGTAGAGCGTCTATCCATTCATCACAAATGCAATTTTCAAGGTAATAACTCCGTTTCTCACTTACAATAAATGAAATGTGCTCTGGGGAAAAAGACAAATGCTTCCACACTGCTTGATGCTGGAACAGAAAACCAGCGAGCTTTTCCACTGGATGGCTTGCCGTGCCATGCAAAGGAGGTTTCAGACCACAGTGACCACTGCGAGGTGGTGATACCTTCATTGCAAGCTAGCCATAAATATGAAACCCAGGTCAGCTGGATGATGCAGAGCCAGAGCTGAGAAAAAACCCTTCGTTGGTGGTTTAAGAAAAGCCTCATCAACCTTAAAGGGGAACAGAGCAGGAAACCAGTTAGGGCTAGGGTGTCTCACCACGGCTGTGGTGGACCAAGAGCAAACCCTACTAAAGAGAGCAGCGAGCTGTTCCTGGCATCCTTGTCCTGGAGCCACTGGTGACTCAGCGCTTACGAAAACTGTGTAAATAAAATGGTGGCCTAGGAATTACTTGTTCAAAGATGCTCTTACAGTTGCAATCCCCTGTCTGCACACAGCAACCCCAGGTACTCACGTCGTTTTTGTTGAAGTACTTCAGCGCACCTTCCCTCTCCGATAACACGAATTTTCGGCTTAAGAATTGCCCGTTATCACGTCCTCTCTTCCACAGAAATCCTTCTCGATACCCTGCAACAGAGAGGAAATGCTGAGAACCAGGGATAAAACACTGTATTTAAAAAAAGAGGTAGAGTAAAGAAAAGGAGAAGAGCTTCAACTTCAAAGCAATGCAGACCAAATGTGTGGCTGGGTTGCTCAAGACATGAACAAAACAGGCCTTCTCCTTCAGATTTGCCCTTCTCCAACAGCTTGTGCTTCAGATGTCCCCATCCTGACACCGTGATGCGGCAGGCAAAGGGAGGTTTCTGCCACGCATCCTGCGCTGCAATACAGGCGAAGACTTGAGGAGCAAGGCCACGTCCCTGCGCAGGCTGCCAAAGGACAGCCCCTGCCACAGCTCCCACCACCAGAGATGCTGCTCAGCTCACATAAGTAGCACTTTTGGAGCAAGAGAACGGCAGGCAAGACCTGCCCTCCTCTGACGATGTTGCTAAAAAAAGTGAAAAACAGGGTGCGTGCATGCAGGAAAAGTGGTTTAGGGTGGATGGATGTATCAGAGGAAGCCACAAATACATTTTTCACATGGAAAAAGGGGAAAACGTTTGCAGTTCTTCCCATTGACTTCAGGGCACTTTGGTTCAGAAAGCCACTGAGCCAGACTCAGCATCCTCTCCCCTCGGAGCGGGTCCCTCCAGCGCCCAGGCCAGCCCGGCTGGCCATCCCGTGCCTCTCTTCTCTCCTTGGATATCAGCCTCATGGGTGGATCTGCTGCTCGGGAAGAACGCTATTCAAAACACACATGCTTTTTTTAAAACTCCAAAGAGCCAGAAAGAGAGAAAAAAGAATCTAAAAACCTGAACTCCTCAAATCAGAAAAGCAGTTACCACCGGTCACTGCCAGCACCTCCTGCAGCCACAATGCCCAACTTACCTTGCAACAAATTTAATTGACGCTATTATTTTAAATGCTTCAAAACAAAGAAACCCCAAGAACTGTCTAATACAAGTTTTGTGAATACTAACAGAGAAGTTTGATGGTCATCTTCCATTTATTTAAGATATAATTATACAAAAGTCGCATAGAAAAAGCGTTCTCTTTCTCTCTTAGTTTCACCCCTTTTCAATTTTTGTTATTGGTTCTCAGGAGCTAGGGTTTTAAAATTAAAATTTATATGTTTTACAACAACTTTCAAATAAGTAGTTAAACTTTTTTTTTTCAATATGCCAAGTGGCATATTAAAGTCTTTCCTTCACCTGCCTCCTACAAACCAGTCATGTGCAGAAATTCCTCATTCAACCCACTTTTCACTTGTCCATCCTGATGTAGGATTGATTTAAACCACAGATTAGAAGACGCAGTAAAGTCCCTCAACCAGTTCCTCAACACTGACTCTACAGGTGTAAGTGACATAAAATATTTCCATGACATAAACACCTAAAGGAAGAAAAAAATGCACAGACACACACACTTCTGTCTGCACTTACAAAAATCCTACACCAAATACTTCCTCTAGGTCCTCAAAGAAACTTTACTGAATGCCAGACAAAGCCATCGACATCTGCCATAAATAAGTGCAATGGCAAAGCCCGTGCTCTCGCTAACGCTGAACACTCACCGCAGAGAGCATCATAAATCCGACCGGCATATCCGATGGCTGACACACGGGACTGCAAACAGGCTGATAACTTGATGCAGATGGAAGCGGTGGAAATACTTAAAGCTGTCAGTAGCCTTTCCTTTGTTTCTTTATTCTACATGGGGCACATGTTGCAGCAGGGCTTCATTTTAAAATGCGGGGCCTCACCCTGCCCCCTCGAAGCGGAGTGCGTTACCCCCCAGGAATTGCCACGGACGTTTTCATTTCAGACCCTGCAGGGATCGCCCCCCCACACGGTATTTACAGCTCGCTCGCACAAGCAGACCTTGCACTTCTCCCCCCGTGAGATCCTGCATTCCCCGCTGCCTGCGCTCTCACAAACCTACCCTTCCCCACGGCCAGGCAGACCCAGCAGCAACCAAGCCCACGTCACTGCCCAGAGATGCAGATGGGAGAGCCCAAACCCTCAGTTATCCCATGGCCACAGCCAGCTGGTGATGCCACACCACTCTCTGCCTAATCCTTCCATCTCTGAGCCCTCCCCATCCCTCCAGTGCAGGACAAGTGTTGCATCGCACACAGAACATCGTCACCCACGTGCACTGGCAGCTGTACCCATGTACACCAGCCCAGTAACCCAGAAGACCAATACTGGATACATCAGGAGAATGACAAGGCTGAGGATCTTTCTCTTGTCCACCCATCCACCTTTTGAGAGACCTCCCCAAAGCCACAAGCAGAACTAGCTAATTCAGTCCACCAATTCAATCCTATCCCAACTGTGGGCTTGCTATATACTTTTTCCAGTGAAAACACACGGACAACCCATTGGGGGGCACTTGCAGTGTCAGAAAGAGAAGAAACCACAGGGAGCAGGACCATCCTAAGTCTGAGCACAGGGAAGCAGCCAAGAAAGCCACCGAAACCCAGCCAAGGGCAGCCGCATCCGACAACAGCGCGGGAAGGTCCAGGCTGATGCATCCATATCACCACCACGGTAGGAATTAATTGCTGGGAACCAAAGGTCTGACTGATTCAGAGTCAGATGCTGCTACCTGCTAGGCTCGTATCAGCAAAAACACGACGTATCCCATAGCAGGCTGTATATAATGGAGCTGGATAGGAATAATGTCTCTCTGACAGGAGACAGACAGGCAGTAGGTGATGCCCAGCTGATAGGTTTATAAAATGCAAGATTTGTTTAATGTGAGACAGAGATGCTGCCAGGGTTCTGACGGCTGGCGATTGCCGACTGCTCCCTTGAATAGCAAAACATTAAGCAGCTTGCTCTCAAAGTGTGCGGTTTAGAAACCAAGGACAGGCAGTTTCTGTTCCTGAAGGGTGCTGGGTTTTAATGCCAAGCCAGTCGGAGCAACGGGAGAGTACTTCAAAAGCCATTTCCATTCACTCCACTAAAGAGCAGAGACGGCTTCAGAGCCTCTCTGCCATTTCTCTGTGCCTGACATTTGGGGAACACTAACATCTCGTAGGGGCTGGGGAGAGCTGGGTTTGGAGGAAAAGACATCAGTGCCAAACGAGAGAGAAGAGAGACAATGGAAGGAGGACAGTGACATCTCCAAATGCAAACGTGGGGTGATGCAGAAAGCAAGCCCATCTTTTCCTTCAGAAATCCCCACGTGAGGTTTCCTTGGCTCAGCAGAGCATGCTGGGCACACAGAGCTCAGGTCTCAGGGGCTCCCACCTCAGAGAAGTTCAGCTTCACAAGTCTTGGCTGTGGGTCTCATCCATTCATTCATTTTGAGTGTTTCATTACAAATATCTGAATGGTGAAGGATGCTGCAGGCATTCCTTATTAAACTTGTTCCCCTCCACAACACATTTTTTGTGATTTTTCTTAGCACTTAAGGGATGAAGAATAAAATTGCTCTGCATTTCCCCAAAGAGAATCTCAAATAATTGCAAACCTGTAAGTCCACCTAACACTTACCCCTAGCAGATGGGCATTGTAATAGTTATATACGAAGAGAGGGAAGCCCAGAGAGGTTTAGTGAGCTGCCCAGGACAAGGCTGTGAGCCACTGTCAAAGTCAGGCTGGAAACCTAGCTTTCCCTGCCCTCTTACATAGGGACATTTCATCTTTTCTTTCCAACCTTTTGTGGCAAAACACAGTATCTAAATTCCACTCCAAGGAAGAATTAAAAAAACCAACAGAACACTAAGTGTTATCCCTTTCTGTAGTTCACAGGCCAGCTCTTTCCAAACCAATTGCCTCTGCAAAAGAGCTCCTGGCTGCTCTGACAAAGCCAGCTGCTAATTTCATTGTACTTCAGTACAGATTTTCATAAATCCTTTGCTTGCTTCTCTTCTTTTTCTTTCTTCCATCCTTCCTCCAGGGCTGTGTCCTTGGGAGCTGCTCCTCTGCTCTCCCCAAACCTGCTGCCTGCACTCCTGTCAACACCGATCAGTGCAAAACACCATGAACTGGACTTGAACCCAACATAAACCCATCCAAGTTCCTCAGGCAAACAGTATGTCAGCAAGATGTGTCCTCGATGTCCTGATCTAAAGGATTGTGAAAACAGCTAGAGAAGGTGTTGAGAAACAAAACTGCAGGCGGCTGAAGAGGGAACAGATCTTGCACCGGAAGGCATCCGAGTTGGAGAACTAAACCACCTCTTCCTCACCTCTGTGGGCTGCACCACCTTAGCAAGAGCTTCATATTTAGAGGTATCTGGCCAAATTCAGATCTTCATGAGGGCTGTTCTGCTTATGTTGAAGCTAAACGACCGCTAGTCCTACAACACTTGCTGATTGCTGGTGTTGGACCATGCAGCATCACGTCGCCAACACATATGCTTCCTCTCCCAAGGCACACAATGAGGGATGTGGCTGCCTGTCATCATCCCACTTGATCATCCCTTCTATGATGGAGCAGCTACATCAGTGGACAAGGGAAAGGCTACAGATGTTGTCTATCCGGACTTCTGTAAGGTCTTTGACGTGGTCCCCCACAACATCCTTCTCTCTAAACCCGAGAAGTATGAATTTGATGGGTGGACTGTTCAATGGGTGAAGAATTGGTTGGATGGTGACACCCAGAGGGTGGTGGTCAATGGCTCGATGTCTGGATGGACGACAGTGAAAAGTGGTGTTCCTCAGGGGTCTGTGTTGAGACCTGTACTGTTCAATGTCTTTGTCAACGACATAGACAGTGGAATCGAATGCACCTTCAGCAAATTTGCAGATGACACCAAGCTGAGTGGTGCGGTTGACACACCTGAGGGATGGGATGCCATCCAGAGGGACCGCGACAAGCTTGAGAGGTGGGCTGATGAGAATCGCATGAGGTTCAACAAGGCCAAGTGCAA